TATTTGCTAGCATGAATTTCTGGTAAAATTTTCAACAGATAACAAAGATAAGAATAAGTTTAGAGCATGTTGTCAAAAAAAGCATCATAAGGGAGAAGGCAGCATAGTGACCTTAGTAATCAGTTCTGCCACTGGAAACACAGCAGACAGCTTAAGTCTGTAAACGCCAAAGAGACCAGGTAGGTCATTCTGCAAAATTAAAGTGTAAGGATGGCTTCCTCTTCAGGACTGATATATAAGCTCAAAATATTATTGCCCATATAAATCTTTTCACTGGTATGGATACAGAAATGTGGGTTTTCCTTACAAACCAAGTTGCCCATTATCCATCGAAAATTGTCATGAAGTTCTGGCTGTAGAAGTCACGAAGACTGAAAACACTGCTGTAGATGCAGCATGTCCCTGGCTGTTGGTGCTCCTAAGATAGCAAATGGCCTTCTCATGCTGCATATCATCAATATACCACAGAGACCTACAGAGTTTAAAAATCAAACCTATAAGGCAAATATATTGCAATAACTAAAGAAAAGGAATCCTGATTGGTGAATAAAGTTGGTCATGCTAAATGGCAAGAACCTAGTAGTTTTTGTTTATTATTGGAAATAGCAATGTAGAATTAAATTGACAGACTAGCTTAACACAACCAAATGCAGACTCACTCAGTAACATAAGGATTTTGGATGACCAAAGAATGATGAAAGGATATAAGACAGTCACCACCCTGCTTCAGAGGAAGAAAGTCCTCAGTGCTCTGCAGATGTCTAAAAGGGAACTGACAGACACATTCAGGAGTTCTGGAATTAAGGCAAGTTCAGTGTTGCAGGGAGGAAGTCGTTACAACACCAGAGTGCAAAGATATTACAGGAGAAGTCAAGGAGAAGCCTGCTTTAATTGGTTGCATCCATAGATCTGGAATGACCACATTTTAAACATTTTGTTCAAACTGAGGCATTTAAAAGCACTCCGTATGTTCTTACCTAGGAACACTAGCATTGGGGATAAAAGCTAAGCACGCCCCAAATACTCACCTCATCTGTTCTATTTCCATTTGGTTTGTACACTTTTTTCGTACCTGTGGATCAAGGTGCTAGAAATTAAGCTATGAGTAGAGCACTTTATTCCCCACTTCTCAGCTATTTTTTTTCCATATTTGAATTGTGCATTAAATTATCCTGACTTGGGACTTGACAAGAATACACCACAGACCTCCTCTGTCCATGTGCCTATACCTCCTCTCTGTGGACAGAGCTCGATCCTATTTAGACTATGTATTTACAACAGAGAGACTTTGGGCTTTCCAGGCAGAAAGCACTGAAGCCTTTGTTGTCATATTTCTCCCAGGCACATTTCACAAAGGCAGCACATTCACAGGTAGCATGTTTTGGAACAAACAAAAACACAGTTAGTGAGAAGCATTAAACTCAAGAATATGGCTGATGGCAAAAGAAAATCCTAAAGGGAAGAATCAGAAGTCTCCAAAGGTGATTCAGAAGAGGCAGCAAAGGTAGCTGAGCTGCAAATAGTCAGGGACTAGAAGCATACCCAGAGGAAGTATCATCTCCTTTGCCTGTTTTTATAATCTCTCCTCTTGGCCGCTATCAGAGACATGACACAGGCTAGGGAGACCTTTGCTGCTCTCACTTTTTTATGATTGATGAGAGAAACAACAACAACTCTAGCAGTTAAAAAGTAGGGAAGAGACAGCAAACTAGTTGATCTGATCTGAATCAGCAGTTAAGATGAACGTAAGGTCACTCATTTGCAACAAGAGACAGATCCTCATGCAATAGTCCTAGTTATATTGCTTATGCAAGCATGCTCTGGTCTCCAAGATGGCAGCATATAAAATCCTAAAATGTCGACACATACATGGACAAACACTCAAAGGACAAACCTCAAAGAATAATTCGTTAGTAAGAACAGAATACGGTAACTTTTGGTTTGTTGTGTATTCATTAGTCGGTGAAATTGTATTTTTTTTTTTTTTTGAAAAAAAAAGTTAACTACCAATAATTATTTTTCAGTTGTGAAACTTAAAAACTAGGCACTTATTACAGAAAATCTGGCAAGAATAAATGAGTGGGTAGACTCATGCATAGTTCTACGTGGTTGAACAATGACAGGTTAAGCTGATATATTACTTGTTTTTGTCTCCAGCCAAGAAATACAATAAAAATTAGAAAGTTTACTCCAAAATATAGTAAAAATAAACATGAGTCTTAAAGATCTCAGAAGTCTTAGCTGCGTAGAACAGTATTACAAGTCGACATTTTTAAAATATGGGGATTTTGCCAAGTAGAAAAAAACCCACAAAACTCTGAAAATATAACTAGTACATACTCTTTAAGTTTATATTTAATCCAAGGAGTATTTTTGCAAGGTATTTTATTCAGATCATGAAAAATAGGTATCCCATGAAGAAAAAAAACTTTTTTCTTTTTTTTTCCACTCGATACTTTAGCCTTCTTTTGAGAGAGATTTAGTCTCTCAGTCTGAAGGTGACACACGCCAGCTCCTCCTGCTGGATTTCGAGGAACACCCATAAAAGTAATTTTCTTTTCCAAGATTTGTGGGCTATCTAATAGCAAACCCAACGTCCTCCAAAACAGGATGAAAATGAACCCCATGAGAATATAACACTTTCTTGAAAGTCTACAACATACCCAAGCAACAACACAAACACACATACCCCCATCACACCATACAATAAACCCCTGTGTTTTACAGAAGTGGCAGTATCCATGGGATGCTGCAACAGACTATACAAAGAGGTCTCCAGGAGGGAAAAGGGTACTAAAGCCTAAATATTTGGCACTAGTGGTTGACTAACAAGAGGTATTCCCAACAGCTGTCATTCCCTGCTTCATTAGTGCACTCAGAACTAAACAGACATTCCTCTGGCAACAGTTCAAGGTTGGTGAGCACCTTGCAAACATCCTTCCAGCCCAACTCACAATAAGGAAGGGGGTAAAAAAAACACCCAAACATCAAAACTAGGACTCTCACAATACCAAGCAAATATTAAAAAAAGCTAGTGTGCTTTCCCAGGTTTTATAGAGAACAGATCAGCAGCTAAAAAGCATATATTTAAAAAGCAAATGCAGTATTGATACTCTTGTAGTCTCTGGGAATAGGCAAGGGCCCTATATCATTACTGTGTAAGTCATTCATGATGTGGTTTACATCCATCACATAGCCAAAGGAAATGATACGTTATATTTGTTTGTGTTGCTTTGCATATTATTGGTTTCAAAAACTCCTATTCTAGAAACAATAATTTGTGTTTTAATGAGGCAAACTACACGGTCTACAATCAACAGAAATTCAGAACCCCAGATAACCTACTATACAACATCTGTCAGAACACCAATTACTTATGAAGTTATTTCTATTTTGTATATTCTCACCATATTTAATAATAAAAAAAAGTCCAGTGTCTTTCTCACTTCCATTAATGTTATTTATATTCTAACCCCAACAGGACACATTGCAATGCCCAGCTAAACTTAGGAACCAAAAGGTACATCATATTTAAATGCTGTAGTTTGGTTATGTTCTAGAAAGTAAGTACGCACTGTTGATGTGAGCAACTTTTTAGCCACTTAAGTTGATACACCTTGATTTTCCAGGTACTTACATTACCTATTTCTTCTAATCTTGTACATTTAAAATAACCATTTCTATATATGGGGTAGCTTCCTTATTTAATATGAACTCCTTTATGCGAAGCCAAAATGTCAAAACTATTTGGAGTAAAACTACATCTTTATCAATAAAATAAAGGTGCAAGAGCAACCTTAAAAAACCCCTAAACTTTATATAGAATTCTAATTGAAACATCTAGCAAACAGCTGAGTAACTGGGGGATCTTTTTTGTAATTTCCTTGTTTCTCATCCCATCTGACTCCTCTTCATTCTCCAGGAGGTAATCTGCCTATTTCATCGCAGACAGCTTTGCATATTAAAATAAATTAACAGAAGTATCAAAACAACTGCTCAGTGCAGACATGTAGAACATGGATATTCAGAGTTGCAAAGAATAGAAACATAGAGACTAAAGCCTGTTGGTCTCAAAATATTTTACATGAGTTTCAATATCATTATCTTCAGCAAACTCTTCCTTTACAAAGTGAAGATCACCATGTAAGCTACTTGAAAAATTAGAAAGCATCATCCCCACACTAGATCTGCAAAGCTCCCTATATACATACATATATATATATATATATATATATATATTCATAAAGAAGTACAGGGAGGAAAGTAAGTCTTATATATTACAAAATGAAAAAGTTGAAAGTAGACAAAAATGGAGAATGAAAAATTATTATTTCGGCATTTCCGTTAACTCTTTAATAAAAACCCCATCCCTCCAAAATTCACATGCAAAACACGTGCTTCCTCACACACCCAAGTGTATGGTGTTTACAAATGCTTGCAATAACATGCATTATTCTCTACCAAGAGTGTCAAAACCAATTTTCTGCTTTGCTTGAAGTAGGTCTGATGAGTTACTGGTTTCTAGAGCAGTCAGCAATATTAACAGCAAATTTGCAAAAATTACAGTATCTTTACCTCCTTTCTTCTGCCTATGCAGTAACTCACCATTAGACTAGTAATGTTTCCTAAACGTTAGAACGTATACAAAATGCAAAAAACAGATTTTCAACTCCCACTTAAACCAGATTATTGCATGTGCTTGGCTGATCCAGAGCTCCCTTGAAGTGAATCTTTTCCCTGATCCAGTCCACTTCAGGACTGGTCCTCAGCATCACCATTGACCCTTCCTACCAGTGAACATACAGTGACAGTGCTGTTCAGATTTTTAAAGAGTGTATTCCTCCCAAGACTCTGAGTAAAAAAGAACAAAGAAGGAATTGGAACTACTTACCTGAAAGGTCTGTATACAAAAATCCTAGTCAGCAAAAATATAGCATATTAACAATTACATTGAAAAGACAAACTATAAATATCTGCATAAAACTCAGGAAACTTCATACTTCTCTTCTTGATGCTGGTCCTCTTGGTCACTTAGTTCATCATCATCTACCATATGCCCAAATGGTTCAGAAGAAATTGATACCATATTAGACAGGATAACTCTGCTATCACTGCTTCCTGTAAGGATCAGCTGATCATGAGAATGATTGTATCTGACATTCCAGACCCTAAAAAATGAAATCAGAAAGAATAAGAGGCTATTTTTGGCAGGTAGCGCATCAACGTTAAGTGAGTATTTTTTTTTTTAAACAGCACTAAAAATTCATCTTTGACTGAAATATTCTAGAGTATACATACTGGTGACATGCTTCATTTCAAAGACTGGTTTTTGCCATCTTCATTTGGCTTTTATGCTGGCATGTCATCTGTTTTACATGAGGTGTCTTTACAATTCAACAAATAAGTTTTTTTTAAAAAATAAAAAAATCTAAAGAACAAAACACACTATTCAGTGGTATCATTCCTTGAGGGTACAGGGCAATTAATTGTTTAGTAAATCAGATAAATATTTAAGTTCTAAATATAAAAATTTCCCCAAAGCAAAACACAGATTAGAAATAACCTTTTAAACAAAAATCTCACAACATTCTTACAGTAAAGTTTAAAATAGACCCTGAAACAAAAGCAGGATTATATTTCTCTTCAATTTTTACATTTTACATATCAAGTTAATACCAAATGTCTTATGCTTCCTGTTTTATTATTCTTCTTTTAATCTTCTGGAAAAAAGTACAAATGCTGCTTCTGTTAATTCACATCTTCATTCCCCCTCAAAGTAGCTTCAGGGTCCAGATTTATTTTGCAAGAATTACTCCAACCCTAGTTTTATAAAATATGAACCACTCATCTTTTCTTCACCAGTGAAGTCTGCAAACGTCAGACAAGATTCTTTCCTCACTCCAGCCACAGGCCAGAGCGGTACATACAAGCTCTAAATATTATCTCAGAGAATAAAATGACTCACTTGCATATTCTGGCTTAAGGGCTATGAAGAGCATGAAAAAATTGGGGCTGAGCTCTTGGGCATTTCAACCATCCCAGAAGAGCAGGATAGATGAGGTGCTGGGGATGAGGCTGAGTTTGGGAGGGCACACCTTGTCCCAGCTGGGGGCCACGTTCCGTGCCGTGCTTCTCGAAGGTGCACCCCTATCTCCCAACAACCGTAACAACAGCTTCCCCCCAATTAGACTAACGCTGTCTAAACTCTTAATTTGCAATCACACAAGTAACATTCACACGTTGAAACCTTTCCTCTGTGCAGAAAAATGATTATTGACAACAGCACAAACATAGTTAGTTTGCATTGTTCCTAAACAGTAAAATAATTAGCTGAATAAATTACATAAGCCATCCACCCGCAAAACAGCATGCAGATAATTTGTTCTACCAGTGGGAATGCTCCTCCAGTGTCTTCACTGGTTCAGTGACATTTCTTGTGTCCCAGAATTTCACCTTGCAGTCATCTCCACAGCTAGCCAGGTAGTACTGTTTATTGGGATTAAAGTCTAGGTCTCGTACCAGCTGTCCGTGTGCATTTTCTATGCAATATATCTGTCTGTAAAACACATTACAAAAATTAAATGGTCTATAAAAAGCTAACTGCACTCCACTGACAGGAATCTGTTTCCCTGGAAACTTGCATAATCCCCTTAGCACCCGCAGACCTAGAGTTCCCATTGCTAGTGCACAGTTTAGGGAAATCCCAGCTGTTTACAACAGCGACTTGTATAGATTTCTCAGCTTGCTCTGAAGCTTTGCGCTTTCCTTGTTTGCACTAGGATCATCTGGAGCTAAAAGGAAACAGTAGCTCCAGATGATTCTAGCACAGCTCTTTAACAACTGTTACAAAATGTCTGCTACTAAACCACAACATTTGCAGATAAGAGCTTCTCTACCCCGAAGCAGTTATACTAATTCTGTATTTATGACTTCTAGGTCTCCCTGTATGAAAAGCTGAGATGCAAGACATGCAACATATATGAACAAGTTTTTATTATTGCTCTATTTTGAACTTACCTTCTTGATCTCTGGCATTTATCATTAATTTACCTGTGGGCCTTAAACTACACAGCCATGTGCATACTCATGCATCTGGACTACCTCAGAAAACATCTGGAATACTGCTAACAACCTAGCACCCTTATTCAAAACATTGTGTTCTATCAGTTTGTCTGTCTACCTCACCTCTTAAACTTAGGTTTTGGGGATTTTATTTGTTTCCACTATTGCACTGCCACCTTTCTCAAAGCCACCATCTACCAAAGTTCTGCTTAGATTTGCTAGTCTCCTACAATATTTGCTAGAAACTGTCAACACTTTGTGAGCATTTTTTCTTTCTTTAAAAGAAAATTTTTTTGTTTTGGAAAACATAGACTTACCAAAATTTTGTATTTCTTGCACAGTACATATGATCTTCTGTCAAGACCAGAGAGAGAAGTCTCTTGATGTTAGTACCTAACTACTAATATAAGGCAAAGTAACTCCACAAGGAGAGATTCAAAGCATACCAGGTCCATACTAAGCCCTATCCTGACCGCTATGGCAGTCTCTCAGGATAGCGATTCAGCTGCATCCAGCTCTGGAGTCCTCAACACAAGAAAGACATGGACCTTTTGGAGTGGACCAGAGGAGGGCCACAAAAATGATCAGAGTGCTGGAGCACCTCTCCTATGAAGACAGGCTGAGAGAGTTGGGGTTGTTGTTGTTGAAGAGAAGGCTCCAGGGAGACCTTACTGGGGCCTTTCAGTACTTAAAAGGGGCCTACAAGAAAGATGGGAACAAACTTTTTAGCAGGGCCTGTTGTGATAGGGCAAGGGGCAATCGTTTTAAACTAAAAGACAGAAGATTTAGACTAGATATAAAGAATAATTTTTTTTATGATGAGGGTTGTGAAACACTGGAACAGGATGCCCAGAGAGGTGGTAGATGATCCATCCCTGGAAACATTCAAGGTCGGGGTGGACAGGGCCCTGAGCAACCCAATCTAGTTGAAGACGTCCCTGCTTGTTGCAGTGGGTTGGACTAGATGACCTCTAAAGTGCCATTCTAACCCAAACTATTCTATGATTCTATTCTATAGAGGATATTACTTAGATACCCAACATCAGCACTCTCCTCAGAGTTTGAGAAGTATGGCATACACCTGGGTATGCCTTTCTACCAGCTGAGAGCTGAATTTAACACTTCCTTTCAATTTCTTGAAACATCTTTATGGGAATTTTTTTAAATCTCAAGCATGCTTGCAGGAATAAAATACTTCTTTCTTCCATTATTGCACCTTTCACTTCTTTCTTGCACTTCTTGCATTGCTCATGGAGATTTGTGTAAGGGCTTTAAAAGAAATGCCACTGTCCACTATATTCAATAGTGCTTACCATGAAAGCCTTTATTCCAACTTAACTATTATTCTGACCACGTGATCCCTTCCCAAATATGAATACTCTTTTCTTTCACTCTATCATCCTACCTACAGCAATAACACCTACACTGAATTTCCCACTTGCCTCATAAGATCAAGATCAGACCACATGAACATTTTCTCCATCTACTGGATCCATCTTCTCATTTTCTTCTTCTTCCATATTTTTTAGAATTTATCCATAGTCTGAATTTTCCTGATACAATTCTCTTTCTAAATCCATTCAGCCCAGTGTCTGTCTCCTCTGCTTCACAAGCTCTTCTCTGATTAAGACTGCTTCCCAGTCTAGTCTAAGAGTTTTCCCACCAACCTCTTTTTTTCTGCCCTTTCGTTTGCTCTGTGAAAAATCATTTACCTCCCTCTATCTTACAGATATCATAATCGCACTCCACTGAAGTAGCTATTCCAGCTACTTCTTCAGTATCTCTCCTCTCCTATTGTTTGCTGGTATAGCAGTTTTCTGTCCTTGATTTTTCCCCCTTCTCATTTTTTGCTTCTTGCAGTGCCACAGTTTATACTGCCCTGACTTGAAACTCCTACTTCCAGCCTAACTAGTCATTATCGAATATTCACATCATTCTAGACATATTACAGTGTAATAGCAGATGAGACTTATTCTTGCACATATTTTTCAAGTACATTGCAAACAGCTCTTTGGCAGAGCCTGGTACTCATAAATTGGTTCAAGGACTACCTAACCTGAGCTTCACTTAAAGTAATTGGAATTGTGGGGTTTGCTTTTGTTAACCAAGCTACCCTTTCACTGAGGATCTTCTTAATATCTGGCCTATCTTTCATAAAAGTTACTCAGAGTATTCATTTAATGCAAGATAGAGAGGCTTTTTCTAATGAGACAGAGCATGAAGCAGACTTCACAATATCTAACGTTTTCTATTTAGAAACACAGGCTTTAATCTTAAGGTCTGCATGCTATCTGTTAAAAAAAGGTTGATTACAAAAACATTAAAAAAAAGAGAACTTAAGAACCCACCCTTTTTCCTTTGACTGACCTTTCCTCTCTTGTACACTTCATTTAAAGGAGTCTTCATAAATGAAAAATATACAAATACATATCAAGTTAGATTTTTTATGTATCCTTTTACAAGGCAAAGAACCAGACTTTCAAACCTGATGACAAGCATAGAGGAAGTGACTTTTAATTATTATATTTGTATTTTTAGCTTTTGTTTCTTAAATTAAATAAACCTTTTTGGCAAAAACACATAAGGCTGGCAAACATGGGGATTTATTGCTACACCCCTGAGCTGGCAGGAACCATAGAACTAAATTTAAAGTCATCCCCCTTTAAGGCAACAAAAGTTATTACAAGACATCAGTCTTCTCGGTTTAGTGATAAATTACTATGTGCTAAGGGGATAAAGCGTATCTTAAAAAAGCTTGCACAGGCTTTAGTAGTCATGGCAACAGATGTGCACAACATCACTCCTTTCCTTATCAAAATCACAACTGAGGAGGGGGGTAAACACCTTATTAGGTATATTCAAAGCTTTAATTGATTTGGTTATGACTTTGATAGATTCAGTGGTTTCATATAACTAGCATGCTACAATCTTTAATATAGTATAGTATGCTTTTTGTTAAAATCAGAAAAGATTGAACTTAACCTGTGAATTACCTTCAGAGATTGAAGTTATCTTTAAATAGTATGCTATGAAGACAGTTCATAGCATAGTCAGGACTGTTGTTAAATCATTTTCAGGTTGAATTACAGAACACCTTTGTTCAGGTAATACCTATGCATTAAGAAAATCATTTCGAGACTAGTATATACTTCAATAAAAACCAATACACAGGTTAGAAGTGAAGCTGAGGGGAAAACCAGAGAAAACCCTTTACTAACTTGTAAATGTATCAGCTATGCAAGCCCAAGCATTCCTTTTACAAGCGATAACTTTGCCACATTTCTAATCTTTAAAAAAAAAGAACAAAAAAAACAACAAACAAAAAAAAAAACCCCCCAAAAAAGTTAGGGGGAAAAAAAAAAAAAAAAAAACAACAAACAAAAAAAAAAACCCCCCAAAAAAGTTAGGGGGAAAAAAAAAAAAAAAAAAACAACAAACAAACAAAAAAACCCCACAGAAACGTTAGGAGCAATGAAAAAAAAAAAAAAAATCTAACTCCAAAGGAGATTTGCCTCTTTTAGAGAACAAGACTGAAATTTCTCATTACCTCATGCTTCGTGTATCCCACCCTCGAACAGTAGTATCATTGGCTGTTGCAATCTGTGTGCAATTGTGGTGTGGACTCCATCTTCCAGAAGTAAATTTTAATTGTCCTTTCCCTTCCAAGGCTGCAGAACTAGAGAGCTAAAATAACGAAACAAAGCTGGCAATGTTTCTAAATGTAATGCTAAAATAAAACTAGTTCCACTGAAGACAAAATCTGCACAATAGCCTATTGTTCCAAGTGTAACAGATCACCAAAATCCTAGAATAAAAAATGGAAAAAATTAAAAACTAGAGCTGATTTTGTATCTCACAAAGTAATTTTTACAAAGGCTGATGCAGTGTAATGTATTTGCAAATATCAGAAGTACTATACTACTTTATAAATGAAAATAAACAGTTTCAGATCATTTATTGAAAGAGTAGATAAACAATATGGGCACATCGCACAAATTTCTAGCTGCCTCAGACAAATAAACACACGCATTTAGTCTGATGAACAGTCTTACAAGACTGTTTTTCCATGTCAAAATGGAAAATTTTATCTGTAGAAACAGAATTATAGTGTTAAAGATTCTTTGATAAACGTATAGCGGCTTTTAAAAATAAAAAAATCGAGGCCCAGGTGCCCACATCATCACATACATGTCTATTAAAATAATAGCAGGTACTAGACCACAAATCTACAGTCTGTGAGAATTAAGGATTTCAGTTCCACTACCAGGTTTACCTGTTGTTGAGCAGCCACCTCTGCATCTCTTTAATAAAAAGAAGGTACAAAGCAATCAACTTTCTCTTTGAAGTTGTACAGCAAGTTATACTCCAATTCCATGGGAACATGGGGAAAAATGAAGCTGCAGACACTGCAAATTACTTTTACTTCTAATCACTTACTGAAATGGATTAATATCTAAAGGGGGGAAGAGGGGAAGGAAAACCAAAATACTTTCATTTTAATCAGATATAAAATTTACACACATTTCACGTGGCTAGGCAGACATCAGACTTATTTGGTCATCTTTCACAAAATGGTCATATTTCAAAATGTTTCATTAATAGGTATTCTACAAAAGCAGATTACTGCACTGGATCTCATTGGATCATTTCTCTCCTTTACCTAAATCCTAATACATCACCTAATATTCTATTAAACAGAAGATTTCTCAGCAGAAATATTACACTCTGATGGATGAAAAAGATTAAAACATACATACTGCTCACATTAATGACATCAGCAGAAAGATAGGCTGTCAATACAAGACTGCTTAAATCTGTTTGTAAATGGTACCAATGCCCATTTCTGTATTTTGCTAACTTTTTACTGTTACAGTTTCACCAAGAATATCATATTTGTTTAGCATTCAGATTAACAATCTAGAAATTACAGCTCTTCTGTCACTGAAGTCTAGGCTACCTACATGTGTTGTCTTCCAAAAATTTTTCAGATTTTTTTCTTTAAAGAACGTAGAATTTCCAGCATGCAAGATCATATATGGCTCGTGTTAATGAATGATTTGAAACTGTGACCAAACCTACTCCCTTAGCACCATTCCTCAAGTACAAAAACTGTCTGAAAGCCTTTCTACAACTTGCAGGTTATTAACATATATAAAGAAAAACGCTGCACAGGAGACCGCATGCAGGATAATAAACTGAACTGCACGTTTTTTCTGACACATACTAGATTCTAGGCAGAAGAGAATATCCAGAGCTTGAGTGCGTCATTTCAAAAATTAAACTGAGTTTCTTTAGTAATCAGTCTTGGCCACACAAAGCTCAGAATTTCTCTAATAATTTTAGTCTTCTTACCTCTACAGCAGCAGCTGTTTTGTAAACGGAATAAATAAATAAATTTTAAAAAACAAAAATCCCATCAAAAAGTGAGCACTAAGGAACTCTCACATCTTCCCCAAGAGATTGTAAAACTGATGGACATTCAAGTGCATTCTAGATAAGACCACTAAGTCATTATTCCATTTATGAAATATTCACAGGCTTACGCTGCACATGCTTGTATGATCTTGACTGACTCCTCAGTGAAGACAGGGTAGTGAAGAAATCTTAATTAAGTCCATAAATATTTAGAATTTCTAAAGAGTATCAACTGGAAGAAGCTAATTCCTGGTAGTGATTACTACACTCGTTCAGATAAATCATATACAATGTTTGGGGTTTTTTTTTTGCTGTTTAACCATATCCTCATCAACTGCAAACGGGTCACAATCCTGTTCATGCTGGAGACTGTGCGGAGATCTCAAGACAGCCTCAAGGAGACACCCTTGTAATAACCACAAAGTCATTGAAATAATATTTTGAGACCCACATTAAGAAGGGATGAGTGTTTTTCTGGCTTGTTATTGACAGAAATAGAAATATTGATGAGGACTTTAAATTCATTGCCATGAGGCAACCATGCCAGGTAGTCCTTTCATAGCTGTTCTTGTCTCCTGAACCATCCTACAATCATTCACTTTTTCCAAAGGCTCATCACACTGGCAGCTCAGAGTCATTCTCAGAACAGCAAAGCAACAGAATCTACATGTTTTTAAGTGTGGAGTTTGTATGGCACAGCAAGAAAATATTTTTATTCCTAAAGACAAGTTTTCTGTTTTATACTATAAAAATTAAAGTAAACATCAAGTTCATCCTTTGAAATATATTTTACTCCTATATACAGATCATGTGTTCCAAGTTTCTGTCATGAACAACTTTCGTAATTTCACTCTTACTCCTATGCTTTCATTAAGGAGACTATTAAACAAAATTGATCACAACACCAAACTCTTTAAGAACTGGTGTTCTACTCTCTTTCTGACCCAGTAATTTCTCTTTCATTTTTCGTCAGTTTTTTGCCCTCCTATAATTAATCTATGTCTATTCTAGTTGCAGTAATTAGGGGGCACTCCACAAAGTTCTTCACTGAAGTCCACAATGTATTTCCTGCCTTGAGAACCAGCAGCCATCTTGCCAAGAAAGCATCTCATGCTTATTCCTAACATCTTCCTACATTTGGATACGTTCCTTTCCTCCAGATAAACTGTGAAATCTTCCCCACAAGATCTTGTCTTGCCTGGAATGCCACTCTCAGATATTTTCTGTTGTTCTGAATTAAGATCACCTATAGGTTAAATGCTACTAAAAAAATCCAGAAGGGATAAGAAATCTAAAAGGAATCTAATTGATCATTTGGATAAAAATTATCAAAACCACACCTCTACTTTTCCCCTTTGTGAAAACATAAGGCAAACAGAAAAATATCTATATTTTAACATCTCCAATTGCACTCATCTGCTGTCCCAAACCATATTGCATTTACCCAAGGTAGAGTTCTAGTGATCTGGGAACATCTGACCTAAAGTCTGTACACAGAAATATTAACTGTCATCTTTTCAGTAGAATCTACCCAGACCTTGTGGAGTGGTTGGTCTTCTCTTGGGTTCAGCTAATGATTATAAATGACGAAGAATAGCTAATTTAATTGCAAAAGGTAATGATGCAGTGAGCATAAGATTAGTTTCACCCCAGAAGGTAATGTCCTCAAAACAATAATAAAGGGAGTGATCAAAAGGAGAGAAGAAGCTTGTCTTAATGCAAATACAGGCAAATATTCTTGTATTAAGTACTGCAATGAAGAAACAAGTTAGCAAAAAACACTAAAAGGGGAAGAAAAAAAAACCAAAAACAAACCAACAAAAAAACCCCAGAGCTATATAGTAAGTTTAGGAAGATTTCAGAAATACATAGCAGTTAATTCCAGGCCTGAAAAAGCCTGTTACAGTGGGCTTCAGATTGCCATCATTTTACTTACTAGAAAGTCTAAGGTAGACACTTTAAAGAATGATCAAGCTTTTCTCAGAGCCTTGTTCAGCTGGACTGTGGTTAACTCAGGTTCCCAAAGACATGCTTGAGACAAATTTGTTACAGACAAAAATTCAACAAAAATGCAACAATACCAGTCATCTAAGTCATCTTAGAAGAGATTCACCTGCCTTAGGATTTAAATGCCTGGAGATACGTTTTCTGAGAATCAAGTTTTCATGGACTTTCACTATTAAACTTGACTCTAAAAGTGGTCACTGACTCAGTGATGAAGGAAATATCATCTAAGGGTAACATAATTGCTAGAGCATAAGGTAAACAGTCATTTCCAGGCAAAATTTTAATTACAAGCAATACTAATTTACAGTGCACTCACATGAGATACTAGATTATTTTAGATAGAAATCTAGAAAATCAGTCAAATTCTGTATCAGGTCTCTTGAATGCCTGACTATAAAATCTAAATAATGCTCCTAACTTCTTCAAAGAAAAGTTTTTAACAGACCCTTCAAAATGCTCCTATCTGAAGATGCCAGTTAAGCATTGATATATCTAATTTCATAGTCTTAGCTTCATTAGATGAAGCATGTTTTTTGATGCAAAATTTCACTTTTGGTTTTTCTTGCTTCCTTTTATCAAATATAAGCATATAACAAATGCCACAGATTAAGTGCCCTTGGTTCCTTTATCGTTTTGCCTTCTGGAATCCTTATTTTGCCATCAATATTTGATGCAGTATAGGCATATTTTAAAAGTAACAGCATAAAAGATACTCTAGGTAAGGAATGCTAATTGAAATACTAAAGGGATCAGTGAGCTAAATATTGCTTGAGGACAGAAATATTGATTTCCAAAATCATGCTGAAATTACAAAGATTGGAGAGTCTAGTCCTCTCCAAAATTATGCAGACCCCAATTTGAGCAATTGAAGGAAAAGAAAATGGAAGTCATAGTGAGACTCACAATTACTTGTGTGACAGAGAAAGGAGGTTAGTTTTGGGGAAAGGAATGGTAAAAGGAAGGCACAACATGCAAAATTTTAGTAAATAATTCCCAAGTAAAATAAAATGAGAAGAAAAAAAAAAAAAAGAATTGGGCATTCATTGATAGATTTCCACACATACATATAGAGAGACTGGTAACACGCTAGAGAGCATCCTAAAGGAAATCATATTTCAGAGAGATTAGGAAGAAATTTGAGGCAGTTACGAGAAAGTGGTTGGGACAATGAAAAAGACTAATTAACATTCAAAAGAACTTTGGGCAGCTCTGTCCTCTCTTACTGAAGAGAGAAATGAGGAGAAAGGGAAAATGCCAAGTAGTCTAGCAGTTCCAGCACTTCAAAGAGACATGAAGAGTTGCAGCATGGAAGCAGCACCACCCCCAGAAATAGTTTTTCACTAGGTTTAAAGAAGGCATTCCATGAAGTCTGCGTGTTACGCAGGCGTTAGAAAAGAAATACTGACTAATGCAGTAGCAATGCAAAACCAGTGGACAGTCAAGCTACAGTCAAGCTCCTGGAGATCAGCCTTCAGAAACTCTCAACATCAATTTGATAAAGAACAAACGCTGCTTTGAAGAAGACTTGGAAGGTAACATAACACTGACTGAAGTTCCAGGTTGAAAGAAAAGCTAAACTTTCCTAAGTGAAGTAACGCAAAGGGCTTACTTATGAACATAAAAAATTAATCTATATTACATTACATTTACACTATGCAAAATCTAGCAAAATAGTAACAACTCAAGACTTCACCCACTTGCACATAGTCAGATGGTACAACAGGGAAGAGTTTATGGACACAACTTTTTGAGTCTTTAAGCAACTGCCAGGTGAAAAGTCTGGTTCTGCAGCAACCAAGAAAATAAACTAACTCTAGACAAGTCAAGCTGGGGAATTAATTCAAGAAGTGACTACAAATCAACTGAATAATAATATCTTCAGCATAAGCAGTTTCTGTTTTTAAAGACAGATACTGACCTAAATTACTCTATCTAGAAACATTCAAATTTTTCTATATACAATCTATTTCGTATACATAAATAAGTAAGCTTTTTTGCTTATCTATAAGAGGTGGCATAACAGAAATCTATGCTAATAACACCATCTTGTATATGCGCCTGTATAAGAAGGTTTTAACAATGAGTGATAGAACCTGAATAGACAGTATAGTACTAAATTAAATTAATACTAAGAACTCAAATCAATGCATAGTAAATAAAGTTATATTATGCTTATACATACAACAAGGGTTGTAAATTAAATAGAGGGCTGCATGGTATTAACCAACATGAGTTAATGCACTGTTATCTGAATTCAATAACCTTTAGCTTTATTGATCACCTATTTTTCCCTCATACACATTTATCAAATTAGCATTGCTTTGGATTATTTACTGTAAAATCAGTAGGAAAGTAAGGGGAAATCTAGAAAAAGGAAAATAATTAACCCCTAGCAACAAATACAAAATACTACCCTTAAACACTCACATTCAAGACAACTGATAGAGTACTCATTTCCCCCACACACATTAAAGGCAATAAAATATTTCTGAAGGTGTGGTTAAAAGATTAACAAATTTGAGGCTAGCAAACATTGTTGTTTGTACTATGTTCAAGTATATCATGATTTGTTAAAAAAAAAAAATTCTTACCACAGCTTTGGCTGAACTTTCCTGCAAATCCCACAATAATATGTTATTATCAGCCAGCGAAATAATCTTTTTACCGTCTCCCATTGGTTCCCACATAACACTGTAAAACAGAAAATGGAAAAATAACCACCAACAACCTAACATTAAAACCAATCAGAATTTGCACTAGAAAGGCATTTTAACTCTACGGATCTAATCTATTCTAAAACATGTTAAACCAAACTCCTACAGTTTCTTTCAGCTGAAATCCATCCCATATTTTAAGTGCAAAATCTGCTCTTAACCAGCAATCTAGCAATTTTTTTTTTTTTACACAAAGTAGAAGAACATTATTGCTACATGAGTTACTTAAAAGCTATGTGATAGCAAACTTAGGCTTGCTTATGGAATATTTTAGTCAGTACTGGTGTACAGATCCTTTTGTTTTTCTTCTGATTGCTCTTGATATCGTGTCCAAATCTTTCAAAAAAAGGAGTGCCATCCAGCTTCCCTAGATACTAGCCTAACTAGTATCTAGGGATAGATACTCGATACTAACTAGCCCCAATACAAGAGGACTTCTCGAAATCCTTACTCTATTTGTTGTCCATTCTGCATATTGAATCATATAGCAAATGTGCAAAACAATGACTATGTCATTGTATCAGTCATTCTGCACACATACACAGGAAAAAAAAGAGACCTTGGCATACACTTACATTTAATTGCTTTAGATTGAAACCTCAGAGTTCTTCATACGTAACATTGTGCAACCTTTTTGAATATGCACCAAAAATCATAAGCCTTAGAACTTTGATGCAAACGTTTTCCAGTTCAACAGCTGTCACCATGACTCAACCAACATACACTTTTTACCTGTGATTCACCAATTTTGTGCTATATATGAAGGAATGAAAGAAAGCACTCCTCATCTCTAGTTCTGCCTCTGAGAAGCAGTATGTTCAAACCAGTCAGTACTGGCATCACAGCGAAGTATATGGAGATAACAGTAAGGTTAAAGGAGTAATACTTGTTATTTTATGAGAATAGGCTTCCATATACAAGACTTCTAAAACGAAGTTGTGCAACCTCCCAATCATCTTGTACTGACACAATATAGCTGAAAGCAGAGATCACAACTTTAGTATCAATAGCTATGTGGAGAATCTTCTTTCCAGCTCTAGAAAAAAACCCTTAAGTTATTCAAAGGCATTTGATATGCTTTTCTCATCCTCAGTGCATACATGAAGAAGTATCTCTTGAAGTTTGTCAAGAGTCTGTCACTAAACATAAGTCTTCTAATCTCTTTAGCTTTTTGCATGAATCAGTTTAGTATCTGGACTGAAGAGATGACAGAAGGTTGCATGAGTAGATGAAGCCTTGCATCGCTGGGCAAGTGAGCCCAACGTTAGGCAGCCATGAGCTACTTTCCTAACTCAGTGCTGCATACAATGCATGCTCTTATTTTATCCCCAATTGTGCATTATTCCTACCTTTCTAAGACAGTGGGTATGACCCAGCTGGCCCCAGATCTAAGTTAATGAACCGATCTAATCTTATAGTATAAAGCACAAGGACAAGAAAATAGGAAGTTACAGATAACAGAAAGAAATGTCACAGTGTCATTTTTTCACACCGCAAATGAAACACAACCTCAGTTATTCTCAGTTGATACCTTCCTGTCAAAATCCTCCTGCTTCTTCAATAAAGAGTTCCATTGCTTCTTACTCTACACTTTAGTAGAACAAGCATTAGCTATACAGACAGATGAGTGCACCTGTTTGCTGTTATAGAGAAGCCAGACTATGCAGAGATAGAACTATGCCAAAAAAAACCAAAACCACCAAGTAGATGAAAAGGCTGGAACTATAACTAAAAGGGTGTGTTGGCTGACTCATCACCCATTGAACTTTTCTTTAAGGCAAGACAGCAGATCAAAGGATGGACTCACTTCTGCATCTATTTTCTCCTGGAACCATGACCTGCATCCTTATTATGTTCTCAATCCACAAAAATTAACTACTTATAAAAAGTTCATTTGTAATGAGGTCTCTTGTATTAGGACAAAATCACTTCATTTAGCACATTAAGCTACCATCATGTTATTAAATGTGTTTTAACAAGGACATGGAACTAGAATGATTCTACGATTTGCTTTAAATTGGGCTGGTTTGTCTGTAGTATTGCCAATCTTATTTTCAAAAGTGTTTCTTGTTAAAGTGGCATGGTACAACTTGGAAAAAACTTATAAACAACTGAAAATGAGCATTGATAATAAAAATGATGAAGCAGTTTCAATGAGACATTCAACTATCATTTTGCCCATACTAATGAGATGTAACCAACTAGCACTGGCACAGGTATTTCAGAATTTCATATAGTTCTGCTGCACAGATATACCAATTAAATCCTTCAAAGAGATGAAAACATTTTATGAACACGTGTACCAGGATCAAAAAAAGTTAGTGCACTATAACCTGCATGTGATCACAGCTACCCTCCCACAAACCAGCTTTTTAAAGTGAAATTAAAAGACATCAGGATCATCACACCATTGAATAGGTAACAGAAATTTTCAACTTAATTCTGATTGTGTTTAGGTTCATCATTTTTTTTTTACATACTGCTGAAAGTATAACTGGCATTTGGCATTGATATATGGAGATATATTTTTAATTATAGACAATTAAATGTTTTGACCAATTAACTCTTTAAGAGTTCTTCCAGACAGACATCAATATTCTTTATGCCTGTTGGTGTATTTGAACCTTTCCTGCACTGATCATTGAACTTTCAATTGTAAAAGCCAGATTGGAAGCAGTTTCTTTGATGTTTTCGAAGGTAGGAAGAAATTTCACATCTTTGAGTGTCACTGAGCTTCAAGATAAAGAATTTTTTATAACCGAATACTGTGTGCTAATTAGAGCCAATTATAACCCAGGTGACATACCTTGGAATGAAAACGTCTCTCCATATTCACTCTGTCCTTGTGAGATGCTCATTTTGCTTCTATTTAATTTGTCTTTATGAAAGTTCATCATTTCATGGGTGCAGGTTGTAGTGATCATTCAGATTTTACAGTCTAAGCAAACGCTACTCAAATCACTCTTTTAACACACTCAGCTGTATTCCGTAGCCATGCCTGGATGTGTCATGGTTTCAGCTGGGATGTAGTTAACTTTCTTGCTAGCAGCTGGTGTAGGGCTGTTATTTGGGATTACAAACCATATTGATAGCACACTGGTGGGTTCCGTTTGTTGCTTTCTGCTCCTCACACAGCCCCACCAGTGACCAGGCTGGGAGGGCACAAGAAGTTGAGGGGCCACAGGTGGGACAGCTGACCCCAACTTACCAAAGGGACATTCCATGACAGATGACATCATGCTCAGTATATAAAGCTGGGGGTTATTTGGGATTACAAACCATATTGATAGCACACTGGTGGGTTCCGTTTGTTGCTTTCTGCTCCTCACACAGCCCCACCAGTGACCAGGCTGGGAGGGCACAAGAAGTTGAGGGGCCACAGGTGGGACAGCTGACCCCAACTTACCAAAGGGACATTCCATGACAGATGACATCATGCTCAGTATATAAAGCTGGGGGAAGAAGCAGGAAAAGGGGGGGATGTGTGTGTGGTGTGGTATTTGGAGTGATGGCGTTTGCCTTCCCAAGTAACCATTATGCATGATGGAGCCCTGCTTTCCTGGAGATGGCTGGCCACCTGCCTGCCCATGGGAAACCGTGAATGAATTCCTTATTTTGCTTTGCTTGTGTGCGCAGCTTTTGCTCTACCTATTAAATTGTCTTTATCTCAGTTTGGTTTTTTCTCCACTTTTACTCTTCTAATTCTTTCCCCCATTGTGACTGAGTGGCTGTGTGGTCCTAGCTGCTGGCTGGGGTTAAACGACGGTAGAATATTAAACATGAAATACCGTGGAGAAGGAAAAAAATAATAATAAAATACTGGTGACTGAAAAAAACCCTGGCTTTCAAAGCAAGATACAAATTTTAGAAAAACTGAAGTTTTCATTTAGAACAATTTTCAGACACAGCAGAGGTGGTGATAATCTCTCAAAAGGAAAACAGATAAACCAGGCAATACCATTTCCCTGAGTGTGCCAACAGTTGCTGATGCTTACAGTTTTCGGAAATGGACAAGATAATTGTCAAATTCACAGCTGCCACTCAGACACTAAGTGTCAACTTCACGGCTGCTCTTTAGATAATCTATAAACAGCAGACAAGCAATTATATTTGTTGCCTTTTACCCTATTTTGTTATCATCTGACTCCTGATGCTTCAAATTAGCTTCTAGCTAGTAGTTTCTGGTTAAAAAATTAAATCCTACAGAGAACATTTTCCTAGTAAAGTAAAAAGAGAATTTAAAATATTCGCTCAAATGCACACATGAAAGGACTCTATTATCTGTGTTTTATGCTGAAAAGATAGTTAACACCATCATTTATTAACGTACTGAGCTTTTACAAATGAACAATTCAAAGTTCTCCATTATAGACTAAAGAAGAATAAAGGAACACACAAACGCTTTTTCATAGACGTGAACTGCAGTCCAGCCACAATGCAAGCATTAACTACTGCTTAACCATAATTATAGAAGTGACAACCATTTATTTCTTTAAGTGGAAAAATTTTGCTAGACTGAAAATTCTTATGCACTGCAAAATGGAAAATACACCCAAGCATTTAGTAACTCAGCAGAACATCCTGCAGTCTCAACACAGCCCATCAGAAAAATTCGTGTGTTATGGACAGAAATATCCTGCCTTCTTTGCAGTACAATGATTCAAATTGAGAGGCGACTCTACTAATCAGGTGATTAGAATATTATTCTAAGAGGAAGGTGATCAGACTGAGGACAACCTGGAACTCACAATTCTTACTCCTTACCCAAGTGCTCTACAGAGCAGCCACATTTCTGAATGAAAATGTCTCTAGCTAATTTGTGGTGTATTGAAGTCCATACTGCAGGAAGCACATATAAGTTACGCTTTGTCTCAAAATTCTCATCCTCAGAGATATATTTTGGTGTCTTACTCCTCAATACACAGTAAAACTAGAACCATAGCTTCCTAAAAAGAAACTTAAGGAAAAGACGAGTTT